GTTCATTCAGATACTGGCGCACTGGCAGAAAAAATGTGGTGGTACTCCATCCTGCATAAACCATATGTCTCATCTTATGGCTAGTAGTACCAAAGTGCATTTAATAAATACCTGTCCATTTCTCTCCTATTTCTTCTAAAAAAATTATGATTTGTTAGTTTAGTACATATAAATTATGTTTAGTTATTTTATGTATGTATTTTCAGTGGAAATAAAATAGTTTTATCCAATCAAAAGATTATGTAGATACCTATATCATACCTTCGTTAGGTATATTTAAATCTGGTACTGCACCAAATATCAAATTAGATCTATTGCGATTTGCTGGAAATTTTTGATTATCTGAGAAATGTATATCACACACTCGATAAGCTTTAACATTTCTTAAGCAAAGGTCTCTTCTACCAAGTGCTTGGGCCCATACTTGGAATATCTGTAAAGAATTACAAGTCATACTTACTTTTACCCACTGTGTAATTAAAAAATCATTGCGAAAATTACAATTTAAATTTTTATGGTAATTACAATATTATGAACGTTAGGTTAGTAAATACATATATATACCTCTGGATGTTTAGGAAACACGTGCATTTTTTGTGTTTTGTGATCGTTATTACAGTCCTTTACCACACACTTGAACACCATTTTTATAAACAATAGTTCAACATCAAAATTAAACCAAACACCAAAAAATAACTACTAACCTAACATTCGAACACGATACGGTACGGCATAAAAAAAATGGCGTCGATTGTTTTGTTTGATAGAGTGGATTGTATAAAAAACTTACCTTTTCATCTTTTGGAAATCTGTGCATAGAGACAGCATCTCCTTTTGAAGTACAAAAAGGCACACAACAATAAAACATTTTCTGTCTAAAAGCAACATAAATCACAATATAAAACACCGCACACGATCAAATCAAAACACAACTGCTAGGTTAAGAAACAAATACAGGGTGATTAATTAAAAATGGGAAATTTCTTAACTGGATATTACACACCCAAATAATTATATGATTGAGCTTAATTTGTTATACAAATGATATAGGTTTGCGAGATACAGGGTGTATAATGTTGGAATTTTAATTTGGAATTTCTCAATAGGTAATTTTGGAATTTTTAGCAGAATTAACTCGAAATTTGGTAGTTGTTTTTTGTTTTTACACAGGAAATGTACTTGTTTAATTCATCTAACTTTATCGGTTTTTGAGTTATTTACATTTTAAACATTTAATGTATTTTGCTTTAAAAAAATGTTTATTCTTTAAAATTACAAGTGTACGGAGTAACAATAACATTGACAAGTAATAATAAAAATCAGTAACAGTAATAAAAAAAACTTCAGAGTAAATCCTCAACTTGTTCGTCCTCCACCTCAGTAGACTTTGCCATGGCTTTCTTAGAGCTTTGGATATTAAATAAATTTTGTCGATTATTTTTAATGGCATTCATGGCTTCTTGAATTTTTTGTCGTAACTCTTCGACGGAATTAATTTTCTCTTTGTAATTTGTGACCATATTGAGAAGTCCAAAAGGTTTAAATCTGGACTTTTCACTAGCCAAACAAATTCACCTCCACGGCCAATCCAGCGATGCGGAAAATGTTCATTCAGATACTGACGCACTGGCAGAAAAAATGTGGTGGTACTCCATCCTGCATAAACCATATGTCTCATCTTATGGCTAGTAGTACCAAAGAGGATACAAATAAGAGTTTTCACTCAATACTAATTTCATGTTCCAAGTTTCATTTTTTGCGTGGTATTTTTATGTCTTATGCAAGTTTACAATACATTCAATGAGACAAGACCATGTTATATCATCTTTAATACATAGCAGGCCTTGCCCATTTTAAAATTGTTGTTCATAAAATCCAAATTGATAGAACATAATTACTTATTATGCAGATAAAAGATCCTAAAAGTTGTCCATTAGGATTTAGGGATCTNGTATAATTTTGAAACATTTTTACTAAATATCAACACAAGACAAATTAATAGAAGAATTAGTGCAGGTTTAAACAGATTATGAAATAAAACTCAAAAGATACATTTATTTATTTATTTATTAAAATATACACTATACCATAACAGTTTCACCAAAGCACTAGCACAACACAAAACAAAATGAGAATATTTTTTAGGTTAGCTCGGTTTGGCTTTTTACCGCTCGGCGCTCACCGTTCTTGGTTCTTTTCAACCAATCAAAACCCGTAAAGTAAACGCATGCGTATGAATACGCTGGTACGTCGCCCCACTTTTCGGCTTCAAGTCAATTGCAAAATGATCAGTATAGGATAGAAGTATGTGAATATTTGGCACATATATATTGGGATTTTCTGCAATTACTACTTCTTCATCACAACTATGTCCTGCAAAAAAAATTGTTAAACGTAGATGTACCTATTAAGGGAATATGTTAGAAATGTACTAGGCATAATAGTAGGTATCGCATTTTTCTTCAGTTTATTCTTTGCTATATCACTAAAAGTGCCTGCAAACATCTTGGCGTCAAAATGAGAACTGCAGACTCGGTAACTTCTATATAAATGTTCTGATGAAAAATGGGCAAGATTCAACCTATTACAATTTTTTAGCCAAATCGAGCACCTAAAATTAAATGAAAAATTACATATAAATGTAGATTCATTTAATTATAACAATGACAGTAAATGGCTTACCTTTCATCATCTTTTGGAAGTCTAAATAAAGTTAAATCTGAAGATGTATTGAAACAATTTTCAACAATGCACTTACGTATAGTTTTTGATTTTGGCATTTCAAATAGTTTTAAGTCTAGCTTATCACAAAATAAATATCACAAATAACTAAAAAAAAAAACGGAGATTCAAATAGAATATCAATCACACTATTATTAAAATTTCTACAGATTCATACACAACGACGATACGACGAATCATAGATTTAATTAGATCTATGCGATGCGACGAATGAATAACCTAATCTAACCCGATTTTAGTAGTACTACCAAAGATTTACAAACAACAAATACAAAAAGAGATTTTACTTCATTCATTCCTAAACATTTTCTTTCTCTACAATTGTGCCACAGCATAAATAAATATGTGTCTCATCACAGTGAGTGAAATAGAACATAACATATCCCAGTCACAGCTCATACAGCTCCCCAACTGTCTTGGCGGGATCGGTTAGCGTCGATTCCGCCGCGCAGCGTTTATGCCCCGCCTTCCAGAGGAAAAGACGGCTTTGGCGTTCGTTCAGGCGAGTAGCGACAATGGGTAATAAGAATTGCATCATAGGAGTGGGTATAATTTCGTTGATTTATTTTTATTTTATATAATAATGAAATTGAAGATACCTTAATTGGACAATTGCAAATGCTAAACGATAACTTTGTTGAGCTCATTTGTAACAATGGAAAGATATTTCAAGGTAATTTTGAATAATTATCCACAAAAAATAAAAGAAAAATAATATTGAACCGTATAAAAATCATTTTATATTTTATACGCATTATGGTAATAGTGTTTTTATATTATGTCTGAGTCAATCTCTATAATTTCGACCGCGGAGTATAGGTTATATTTAAGGGTTAGAATTTATTATACGTTATAAACTATAAACCAAAATTTTAGTAATATTCAAAAAATAAACTTATAATAATGGAGAAATCTGTAATGATTATATTTTTAATACTATATATTATGTTATTATATTTTTTTGTATATTAT